ACTGCTGGTACTCCTGTACATGCTTCTGTAGAACAAGGGCACAGCTCTAAATAATTATGTCAGCAAAATGACAAGTGCAGGAACAGAGATGAATAATTACAAAGCCGAGACATAATTAAGCAACTTTGACTGTCGTATTCTTGAGCTGTCATTCTGATGCGAAGAGCTGTCAGACACAGCAACATACTTCACACTGGACAGGCCTCTTCTACTTTGATCAACCCTTATGCCAGAAAAAAAAATGAGCTTGTGGTACGGTCATTAAATGAAGCTCCCTTGTTTGGCACAATGCCCCTTGCCTAGCAAGACTTCCGGGCTCTCGTTTTATTTTTATTTTAAATCAAGCATCAGACGGAGGTTCAATATTTTGACATTTCTAAATATAAACATCGCTGGGTAATGAAGTTCAACTCATTTCACACAGCAAGAGAAAAGCCCAGCATTGCTAAGTTAAGCTGTTTTCTAATGAACGGGGTTGTACCTTCCCCATTATGACAGTCCCATCATAAACAGACTCGAAGCTACAAAAGATGAAATGAAGCAAAGGAAAAAGCAAGCCGCATTCCGCTAAGAAAACATAAAATAAAAGAATAAAAATAAATAAATAAGAGGAAGGCAGGGAGTTAGGCAAAATTAAATATTTATTGTTTCCTCAAACGTTGTGTGTTTGCTCGTTACTTTTGCATATAAGCAAACATAAGCCAGTTGGAGGAAAAATATTCTGCCTTGTGTCTCATTCTCCATGTTGCTTTTAGAGAGGCTCAGGTGCTCTCGAAAGTTCCTGACGTCAAGAGTGAAATGAAAGCAGTTCTTGTGGAGTAGCCCTACTCTTGTGTCGGCACTTTTTCCCCCCCTTCTGAACATGTTCTCAGATGCCAATGTAGCACCATAAAATTAGACTTAAATTTAGACTAATTTGTGAAAATAGACTAAAGGCAGCGCGGAGTTCAAAAAAAGCACAGTTCTGTGTCAAGCCAATTAATGTTCTCAAGAATACTTCATTTCCCCCTCTGATAATTATTTGTATACCAAATCTCACAAATTCCTCTCAACGCCCACATTTCTATATACGTAGATTTGAAATGAGTACGAATCTAATGAGGAACATGGGCAAACAACACCAACCAACCCATCGTTATTGGGGGTCATAGACCAGCATAAAGTAAAATAAACCTTTTTAAAAAAACCATAAAATCATGTTCCACAATGAAGACGATTAAGGTGCAAGAATATGGTCAGGGAGAAACAGATTGCACTGATAGCATTGAAATCCTACTGGCAGTAAAACAAATACGGACATCTTATGTATCTGAACATACCTGATGTTGCATCAAACATTTCTACAAAGCATGGTTTATTACAGCAAATGATGGTTTCTGTAGACCAAGAGTCAGCAACCCACAGCTCTGGAGCCGCATGTGGCTCTTTCATCCCTCTGCTGCGGCTCCCTGTTGCTGGTCGGCGCCACTTTCGGTTAGGACAGGTAGAGGAAAAAGGACGCCATGCTCGGAGGAGACTCTATGGTGGGGGAACCGGACTTCCGGTCAGCAGAGGAAAAAGGACACCACCCTAGGAGGAGAATATGATGGGGGAACCGGACTGCCTATCAATTCCAAAATTGAACGAGGGCTTCCGGTTAGGATCTTTGTGGCTGTTTGAGTGTTTAAGATTGCTGACCCCTGCTGTAGACCTTCCCAAAGTCAACTTTGCTATGAATTCTTTTACAGTTGTAACCTCATAACCTCAAAAATGGTCCAGAAGTTGCAACTGGTAGAGAAGGATCTGCCCATTCTAAGATGAGTGACATTTTAGGATTTCTAAGCTCACTTTTTTCAAATAATATCCAAAGATCAGCTTGCAGGGACCTGGAGAGATTATTTTCATGGTCGGTTTGTCTCAGAGTGTACAAAATCCAGGAATAAAGTCTTGCAGATCTCTCTCTTGACAAAATCTTCTTTTAGATGACAACTAAAAGACTATTCTGTTAATTCGGGCTTTTATAGGATAGTAGCTACTCTAGAGTCAGATTGTCTTTCGGAGCTGGACAAATTGCTTTTCTTTTAAAAGACTAAATCTTGCTTTGAAGTTTGGCTTCTTCTTTCTAAGGATGGCAGGTTTTTTTTTATGGTTGATGCTTTCAAAATGTTTGGTAAACTTTTCTGAGCCAGGATTAGTAATATGGGACTGCAATAATGATAATCATTAGGGTACTTGCAGTCATCCTAGCAACAACTTCCCGAGTAGTTCTGTATGGTATAGGCAAGGATTTACACATACAGATTTTATGCAACAAATCCATTTTAACAGATTCAAGCCAACTCCAGACTTTTCTCAGATCAACCGACATATAATAAAGCATAATAATAATAATTCTACTGAACACAAAGAGGCATTTGCTCATGATACCTAAAATGCTTACAAAAGGTAATATATTAGCTAAGACCTAGCAATTCCACAGCAAGCAATTTGAGAAAAAAGCCTACCCAAAACATTAAACTGGAACCGAGTGCTAAAAAGATTGGAGAAATAAATACATGTTTCAGAGAAAGATTTAGCAGATAACTAATTCAAAAATAATATTGTTTGCAACTGTGGAATGGAACGATTGGAAAAAGCCCCAAGACTTCAGATTACCCAGTGAGTTTTGAAAATCTTTTCTCTGACAATGGATTGAAGGAAGGAGACTATAAATTAGAAACTGTCCTTAAACTCACTTCTTGCCTTGATTAAGATCCCTTTAAAAGAGCTTATGTGTCAACTGGGTTGAAAACTTTCAGATACAGTATTTAGATTTAAAATATGGTGATATTAGTACATTGGGGCTTGATATCCCCTGTTATAAAAATATAGCAGTTATAATTTGCTATCATTACCAAAAAGGAGATGGATAGTGCTATAATATCTGTGTGTTGCAAGATTTAGGAACGGAAGAAGCCGTTCGCTAAAAGCAAACAATTTCACTTGTTATGAGGTTAGAATATTTTAAGACAGTAGTATAGTGTGAGCCCAATTGTCTAATAAGAACTATTAAAAGATTAAGAAATGAGGATTAATTTTCTTCTTGCCTCTTCTTACAGGTAGTCCTTGACTTACGACCATCATTGAGCCCCAAATGTATGTTGCTAAGTGAGACAATTGTTAAGTGAGTTTTGCCCTATTTTATGACTTTCCTTGCCGCCTTTGTTAAGCGAATCACTCCACTTGTTCATTTAGGAACACGGTTGTTAAGTGAATCTGGCTTCCTAATAGACTTTTCTTGTCAGAAGGTCGCAAAAGAGGATCATGTGACACACACCCCCGGGACACTGCAACCGTCATAAATACGTGTCAGTTGCCAAGGTTCTGAATTTTGATCATGTGACCATCAGGATGCTACAATGGTCGTAAGTGTGAAAAATGGTCATAAGCAGAGGTAGGATTCACTAACCTTCCCTACCGGTTCGCAAATGTGTACGCATGCACCACTTCTGCACAAGTGCATGGCCTTCTGCACATGTGCAGTAGTTGCACATTACATCCGGGTGGGAGGGCAGAGCTTCCTGCAGTCGCCACTACCAGTTCGCTCAATCCAGAGCGAACCGGCTGAATCCCACCACTGGTCATAAGTCACTTTTTTCAGCTCCATTGTCACTTTGAATGGTCACTAAAGGAACCATTATTAAGTCGAGGTCTGTTAGGATATGGTTTGAGCCTAACAAGTTGTCCAGGCAATATATGTGTTCTGTGACTTTAATATGAATATGTATTGTGTGACTTTAAAGTTTTACTGCTGATTCATTGTAATGCTGAGTCATGCTGTAATTAGATAATCACTGGTTGTAAACGTATTTAAGAAAGGTACTGTAACGTATTCAGTTGATGATATGCTACCATTGTGTGTGGAGTTGCTATCATTGTGCTATCATCGTTGGATGGATCTGCTACCATCATGGTTTGTGAACCAGAGTGAGTTTGTTATTCTAACCAACTACTGTTTGTGTGGTAAGAAGATCAGTGCTGTATCACTGGACTGATTTAACTGGCAAAGACTTGGATTGATTTAAAGACTATGAGATTGTTTTTTCCCTATAAAGTAAACTTTTGATAAACCAGTTTGCACATCTCTTATTCATTGCTCTCAGCAACATTTCTCTGTGCTCTAAACTCTGCTGGTTGGTAACACAACAACAATATCCTTAACAAGGTCTACCTGTACAAATCATAGGTGTATTTATCCATAGTGTACAGAAGTTGAAATAAATAAATAGTGTGTCTGTTGGTACACACACACATACCTACATCCAAGAATGAATAAATGAGCAAAAGAAGAATCTTTGCACCTTCTTCTTCCAGCAAAGACTTCATCCTGCCCTGCTCTCAAAGTTTTCCCAATTCTCAAAAGCAGGTTAAGAGGTAACACAAATCAGCAAATAAATAATAATAATAATAATAATAATAATAATAATAATAATAATAATAATAATAATGATAATAATAATAATAATAATAATAATAATAATAATAATAATAATAAAACTCAAAGAAAACTAAATCTGAGAAAATAATATTTGCTGGTTTCCGGACTTCACCCAGCAAATTATTTTTAAAGCGATATCAATGACAATTCCGATGCTTGGAAAGTGAGCACTAACCTGTAAAATTTGGTGGATTAAAGGTGATCAAAACAAGATGATAAACATTACAAAGTCAACTGCATACACGGCAACTGTTAATTTCGGTACAAAGTAAATGTAACAAATGTATGTAACAAATTGATTTTTTCCCCCTCACGGACACCGCAAATTCTTGCTGACGGTCACCGATTCCTTAAATGGCCACGCGCAACATCATCAAAAGAACAAAGCGGTTGAAAAAAGAGAAGGCTAATTTTAGCCAGTTGAATAAAAGGTTGACATTCATTCTTGCCGTCCAGCTTTATTTTCAGCTGAGGAACAAAGCCAGGCAAAAATGTTGAAACCGCGTTGTCTCCATTCACATGAATGCCATTTTGAGTTGCTTACCTCCTTATCCGGGGGCTTCACCACTTTCATAAAGGCTCCCCTCACAAGCGCCTCTTCGCGTTCCTTGCTGCTGACTTTTCGAGAATCCAGGAACTTCAGGTTGGTTAATTTATGCAGGACAAAATGCCTAATAAAACAAAGAAATAGAGGTTTCGGAGATCAGAACATTCTTTCAACTTAAAATGCCATTTTTCCCAGTTAATGTATTGAAGATGAGCGTATTTTAGGAAGGATCTCTATTTCAATATCCTTCCTTCCTTCCTTCCTTCCTTCCTTCCTTCCTTCCTTCCTTCCTTCCTTCCTTCCTTCCTTCCTTCCTTTCCTCTCTCCCTCCCTCCCTTCCTTCTTTCCTTCCTTTCCTTTGTCTTTCCCTCTCTCTCTCTTTTCTTTCTTTCTCTTTCTTTCTTTCTCTTTATTTTTCCTTCATTTCTTCTTTCTTTCCTCCTTCTTTCTTTCTTTCTTTCTTTCTTTCTTTCTTTCTTTTCTTTCTTTCCTTTCTTTCTTTCTTTCTTTCTTCTTTATTTTTCTTCCTCCCTTCCTCTTTCTTCTTTCTTTCTTTCTTCCTTCCTTCCTTTCCTTCTTTCTTTTATTTTTTCCTTCCTTCCTTCCTCTTTTCTTTCTTTTTCTTCCTCCCGCCCTCTTTCTTTTTCTTCCTCCCTCCCTCTCTTTCTTTTTCTTCCTCCCTCCCTCTCTCTTTCTTTTTCTTCCTCCCTCCCTCCCTCCCTTCCTTCCTTCCTTTTTATTTTTCCTTCATTCCTTCTTTCCTACTTTCTTTCTTTCTCTTTTCTTTCTTTCTTTTTCTTCCTCCCTCCCTCCCTCCCTCTCTCTCTCTCTCTCTCTCTCTCTCTCTTTCTTTCTTTCTTTCCATTCTGCTTCGATAAGCAGCAATTCACGGAATAAGCAATCTTTTTTTTTTTTTTTTTATTTGATTTATATGCCGCCCTTCTCCGGAGACTCAGGGCGGCTTACAATGCATTAAGCAATAGCCTTCATACTTTTGTATATTTATACAAAGTCAGCTTATTGCCCCCACAAACTGGGTCCTCAATTTACCTACCTTAGAAAGGATGGAAGGCTGAGTCAACCTTGAGCCTGGCAAGATTTGAACTTACTTTAATTGCAGACAGCTGGTGTTAAATTACAGTGCTTTTAGTCTGCAGAGCTATCCAGGCTCCTATTCTTATTCTTTCTTGCCACATTTTTCACAATCTGTATATGATGAATAATATTCAAAACTTTGAGTCGAGTCTTTGCAAGCATGCAGCCAGTTTCCTGCCTCTACATAAATAATCCTGATCCATGCACCATTTTATGCACAGGAATTCTTCAATAATGTGGATGATTGCATGGCTGTTCTACCACTATGCGGGTTGAAGCGTCATGATGGCCAGTGCAACTGAGAATATTTAGCTAGGGTGAGTAAGAGCTAAAGAGGCAGGAACTTCAATTAGAAAATCAGGCCTATCTTGAGTGAGGATGAGTTCAAAGTCAAGCTATTTCTGACAAAAACACGATTAGCAAAAAGAGTTTCACTTCATTTAGAAAAAAAGGAAATGTGAATGCAAAGAAGGGCAACACACCTTATAAACAAGATGCATCAAAACAGATCATACAAGACAAGGAGGATGTCTGTCCTGAGATGTGGGGCTTCTGAAAAGGGTTGGACCAATTTGAGAAGGTCCTGGGATCAAGGGCTATTAGCTTTGATGACAGTGGGATCGTCTCTGAAGGCCATCTGCTGGGAGAACAGTGGGCCTTTGTGCAGTTCAAGTGTGAGAAGAGACTGCTGGACTAGATGGGTCACAGGTCCAATCCAACAGGGCACACTTTTATGCTATGTTCTTAACCTGTGTAATTTATGGAGAGTTAGTTCCAGAATTAACAGCTAAAAAGAAACAGCCACTAGAAATGTAGGATCATAACCAGGGGTGGGTTCTACTTTACCTTTACTACCAGTTCGCAACGGGATTGCATCTTCTGAGAAGCAAAGTCAATGGGGGAAAGCTGGATTTGTGTAGGGATGCGGTGAGTCTCTTAACAACCATGGCAAAAAGGTCGTAATATCGGGTGACTCGCTTAACCCACCTTGCTTAGGAAATTCTGATCCCAGGGGTTTAAGTTGAGAACTACCTGTGTACCTTTTCCTCGTTAATTACTCGGTAATCCTCTTAAAATGCTGCACATGATTGTTCTATTAAAGTGGCACTAAAAACAAAATTATTCATAAACCCGTACACCGACTGAAGAAAGAGCATCTTAATTTCCTATCCTGGATTTTAACCAAAAAAAAAAAAAAGTGCCAAGTATAACATCTCAAAAAAGCCTTAGAGCTTTATAACAAGTGTCCCAAAGACTCAATTTCTTCAGCTTTGCATGAACAAATAACTTTGCAATTAGGGTTATGGCTATATTTTCTCCCAAGGATGCTAAGGGTACAGCAGCAAACCTTTCCTGAGTGTAATCTTGCGTGCAGCAGAGATAAAAACTTGTGTGGGCTAACTTGGATTTTCTTACTTTATTACTCTTGATTTGTGTTTAAATGACTGCACTCATTATTTGTTGTGTTTTCTTTAAGCAGCAGGGTAACTGCCAGCATTTCATTATTACTTCTTTTTCAACTAGTCTTTTTTTTTTCTCTCCCAAATTTCCTAAGCTTGTCCATTCCTTTGCCAGTCAATAACACTCTTGAGACAATCTTGGGTATCAGTCAAAACATAAAATCACTTGAGCAGCCGAGGGAAAAATCAATTTTAAAAAAAAAAAAATCCACAGCAACAAAACAACCAAATGTTAAACAATCCTAGGAATCTTGAGAGTGGAGGGTGAGCAAGAAGTTAAAAAAAATACATTTATAACAGATTCTCAAATTACCCCAAAATTAACCTCAGCTAAGTTTCTTCGGGGACATCATATGCCAGATAATCTTTTCTCTAGCATCTCTTTGGAATTTGCAAAACATCTTAACTTCAGAATAATTTCCCAAAGCAGAACAAAACACACTGGTCATTTTTTTGTGCTGCGGTTTTTGGGTGATCTGACTGGACCAGGCATTGTGGTTTGGCTTCTGTATGTGACCCTCCTGATTTTTGTAGTGTTTTCCAGTCTACTTTAGAGTCGCAAAAACCAGACACATGCCTGCTGCTGGACAACTTAGAACTACGCCGACTTCAGCCTGACCTAAGCATAGTGCATAAAACAGGGGTGAAATGCTCCCGGTTCGGACTGGATTGTCCGATCCGGTAGCGATGGCGGTGGGTGGTTCGGACAACCGGTAGCAAAAATCCCTGCACCCCCACATGCCCAGCTGAGCCATGCGATCATCAGAGGCTTTTATTTTACTTTTAAAATCATTTTTTTCTACAACCTCTTCGGCCGAAAAAATGCTTTTAAAAGTTAAAAAAAAAAGCCTCTGATGATCACGCTCAGCTGGGATCGTCAGAAGCTCTTAAAAGCATTTTTTCTACAACCTCTTCGACCGAAAGAGGTTGTAGAAAAAAAAATGCCTTTAAAAGCCTCTGGCGATCCCTGCTGAGTTGCCTGATCATCAGAGGCTTTTAAAGGCATTTTTTTCTGCAACCTCTTCGGCTGAAAAGGTTGTAGGAAAAAAAATGCCTTTAAAAGCCTCTGATGATCCCAACTGAGTTGCCTGATCGTCAAAGGCTTTTAAAAGCATTTTTTTCTGCAACCTCTTAAGGTTGTAGAAAAAATGCTTTTAAAAGTAAAAAAAAAAAAGTTGGCCATGCCCATCCAGTCACATTACCCCACCACCACCAAGCCACGCCCACAGAACTGGTAGTAACAAATTTTACATTTCACCACTGACATAAAATTATCTGCCACAACGTCGTTCCTGTCAACGACTACTTCCACTTCAACCACAACAATACATGAGCAAATAATAGACTCTAGAAACTCAAGGTAAACCACTCCAAACTCGATTGCAGAAAATACGACTTCAGTAACAGAGTGGTCAATGCCTGGAATGCACCACCTGACTCTGTGGTTTCTTCCCCAAACCCCCATAACTTTAACCTTAAACTGTCTACTGTTGACCTCACCCCATTCCTAAGAGGTCTGTAAGGGGCGTGCATAAGTGCACCAGCGTGCCTACTGTCCCTGTCCTAATATTCCTTTTTACTCTTACTCTTTTCATGTATTCAAATTATGTTTATACTTTTACCTGTTATCTTATATATGATTGACAAATAAACTTATGATTATGATTAATATGCAGCAGTGTTGAAAAGACAGTTAACAGCTACAACACCGGAAAGCTCACAAGTTCATGCTCGTCAAATACATTTGCCTTATTTTCTCCCAAAAAATAAAGCTATGGCAGAACCTGCAGTGGTGGGGATTCAGCTGGTTCTGTCTGGTTCGAGCGAACCGGTAACGGCAACTGCAGTAGGCTCCACCCACCTGCCCGGATGTAATGCCGTCCTATTTTGCCATGTTTTGGAGGCCTTGCGCATGTGCAGAAGCAGGGGTGGGTTCTACTTACCTTTACTACCGGTTTGGATCGTGCCCGCGTGTGTGCCCTTCTGCGCATGCGCAGATCTCTTGTGATGACATCCGGGTCAGTGGGCGGAGCCTCCCGCCGGTTTTACTACTGGTTGTGAACCGGTCCAAACCGGGGGTAACCCACCACTGTGCGAAAGGTGCGCAGATGAGCAAAGAGTATGCGTGGAAGGTGGTGCGTGCGAGCGAAGCAAGCACTCACGTTTGCGAACCGGTAGGGAAGGTAAGTGCATCCCACCTCTGCTTAAGAGACAGAAAATGTGAAGCTGAATAAGGGATCCTTGGTGCTCTCTGAGCTTGGTTGTTTTCTTGCAGATGTTTCATTACCCAAATTTGGTACCATTACCAGAGAGGCAAGTTTTGTTGAATGCGTAAGAGTGTCATAATAGCAGCATTCCAATATCTGAAGGGATGCCACAAAGAAGAGGGGGGGGGGCGGTCAACCTATTCTCCAAAGCACCAGAGGGCAGGACCCTAAGTGATGGATGGAAACTAATGAAGGAGAGAACCAACCTAGAACTAAAGAGAAATTTCCTGACAGTGGGAACAATTAATCAGTGGAACTGCTTGCCACCAAGGGCGCTGCCCTTGAGGTGCACCCGGAGGCTC